ACCAATACCCTAAATTGAGGGGATACAGAGCGATGCTGCTGTGCTTTGTCTGAAAGTCCTTCTGCTGTCTCTTGTTGTCTCTAAAGCTGACCGCAAGGACAAGTAGCATGGTACGGTCAACCTCCGGCCCCCTCCCGGCCATGTGGCATCACTGTGTCATGATGTCTGCGGGCGGGGTCGCAGCGGCGGGACTGAGCTGGATGTTCCCCTGCACACACGTGTTTACACGCAAAGCAAACCCACACATACGGCACATGAAGAAGCAGGGACCTGTTGACGCAGAGGCACACACGCAGGCATTAGCAGTGGACGGGTCTCCGAGCATGCAGATGTGGTTATAGCTTCCAGTAGTTTTTGTGTTTTTCCTTTTCGATGTCCTTGTTTCAAAATCTTTGTCTCCGTGCCACCGCAGACGAATATTGCCTCATACGCGCTCATCTCCCACTGCTGAATCAGAATGCATAGCACCTCCATTAATCACCAGCACGACCCCCCCCACAGCGATGACGCACACGCTTTGGACCCACCCTCTCCGTCTGAAAAGGGGGGATAGCAGCAGTGGTGCTAACCCTCGTTAGCAGTTTGTTTTCCTCGTTTTGGCAAAGGGAGACAAAGTTTTGTGAACTCTGTTTGATTTGCCTTTTTGTTTGTTGTCGACCCCGTTCAGAGGGCGCCGCGGGAGGTAGTCCAGCTCGGAGCGAGAGCGCCTTTCTCTTTAGCGACCACGACATACACCCACTGATCAGCTCCGCTCAGGCCCCCTTAAGTCAGAGGCGACTCCCCTCCACCCCCCTCCTCCCGCAGTCTGTGGTGTGTCTCGGGTTGGGGAACGAATGCCCACAGCTGGTCGGCGGCTCCGTGCGCCGCTCCGTGGCTGGCGTTTTGTCCGTGATGTGCCGCCGCTCCATCGACACACGAGCATGAGCTGCTTTTCGTGTCTTGGTTCTTTCCGCTGGGTCTCCACTCTCCGCCCTCACCCTTCATCTCAGGCCTCTTCCGCTGCTTTCCTCCACTGGTCACCCGTCCTCCCGTCTCTCTGAGCTGAAAAACCTGTCGTCTGCTTTCATCCAGCTGCTGTCACTGTCCTCATCGTGTCCATGGCGTCCTCCCTAAGCCAACATTCAACCCTTTGTCTTCCTTTATCTTGTTGACTGTTTTTAGCGGGTCAGGGGGTCGGCAGACTTTTCTCTAATTCTCTCTTCTCTTTGATACAGATTCAGCATGTAGTGACTCCTCCAAATCAAAGGTAATGTCTTCCTCTTATTTGATTCAAGCCGTCACTCTCTTTTCCTTTTCATTTGTGATATTCCCGCGCCTTGTTTTTGATGAGTCCTGGTTCTTTCATCAGCAGGGCTTGTGGGGATCAGGGAAGGATCAGTGTAGCAAAGAGATGCTGCGCTCCTCCTTCTTCGCCAGCCGCAAACGTAAGAAGCCCAAGGACAAAGCTCACCCGAGCAGCTCGGACGACGACCTGGACGCCGTCTTCCCCAAGAAGGAGCTCGCCGAGGAGAGCCAGCCGCGGCCCGCGTGGTCCCCGGACCACCGGACCCGGAGCGAGGGGCACACGGACAAAACCGCCGAGAAAGTCAAGCACCGGCTCGGCTCGGAGAAGCTGCCCGACAAACCCAAGAGGAAAGAGTCTCTCTCCTGCAGCATGATATCGCAGCCGTCCCCCTGCCGGCCCCCAGAGCAGCTCTCCTCCCCCCCTGGGCGGGGCTCCCCCGACGCCTCGCCCGCCCGCTCCCCGGACCTCGGCTACCGCCTGCCGATGGCGCACCAGTACTCTCCGTCGGACCCGCCGTCCGCCTACGACGACACGGTGTCCGACCTCGGCACCATGAACAGCACCAGCTCCCAGGCGTCGGTGCCGGAAGCGAGGCGGGAAAAGGCGGCGGCGGCGGCAGCGGCGGCTCCGGAAGCCTGCCCCGGCGGGCCGGGAGCGGAGGTCTGCTCCATCACCTCCGACTACTCCACCACCTCCTCCATGACGTTCCTGACCGGAGCCGAACTCGGCACCCTCAGTCCCGAAGTGCAGTCGGTGGCGGAGAGCCGTGGCGGAGACGACGACGCCGACGACGAGCGGAGCGAGCTGGTCAGCGAGGGGCGGCCCATGGAGACGGACAGCGAGAGCGACCTGTCCGTGTTCACCGCGGGCAAAGCGGAGCCGGGGGCTCCTCGACCGCTGCCCACCTACAGACTCATCGAGGGCGACACCCTCTCCAGGAAGAAGGCGGCTCAGCAGAAAACCGCCAGCGAGTCGTCCCTGGACGCAGCGGCTTGGTGCGACAAGGATCCCAAGCGGCTGTCGCGGGCGTCGGGCTGCGCCGCGGGCGTCTCCACGGGCAGCCTCGGCTCCTCGTCTCGCGGCGAACTGGACAAGGCGGAGCCCGCGTGGAAGCTCAAGATCACCGACCGGCTGAAGGTGCGCCTGCGGACCTCCGTGGACGACATGTTCGGCGTGGGCAGCCAGAGGAGCCGGTCCCCGGAGGGCCGCGGCAAGAAGAAGAACATCCGGCGCCGGCACACCATGGGCGGCCAGAGGGACTTTGCCGAGCTGTCGGTCCTGGGGGACTGGTCGCAGCACATCGGCTCGGCCTCCCGCTCGGAGCTGTCGGCCGTGGACCAGCTGAAGCCCAAGTGCAGCTCTCAGGACTTCTCCATCCGGGACTGGATCGTCCGCGAGCGCCACCGCACCAGCAACCCCGAGGTGAGCCTGGAGCCCTCCGAACAGCAGGGGGCGCAGTGCGGCGCGCACGGCCACGGCCTCGGGGCCTCGTCCTCCTCTGAACTCCGCCGCCGTTCGGCGGATGTGTTGAGCGGAGACGCCCCCCAGGGTAAAAATCTGAGCCTTTCGGCCACCGCTCACCCTCATAAGCTCACTAACTCCCAGGTGGTCAATTCGCGCTTCTACCAGTGCCTGTGAGGGGCGTCGGCCGCGTGTGTGTGTGTGTGTGTTCTGTGTGTACTTGGGAGTCTTGAGTGTGTTTTTTCTGCCTCGTCGTATCCGGGAGTCTGTCAGTTTAATGTCTGTCAGCAAATGAGCATGTCGTACAAAACCGTATGGAGTGTGTGTGTGTGTGACTTGTGTGGGTCTGTGACTTGTGTGTGTGTTGTACTGCACACAGGGTTCGTTGAGCTTGCTCATGTTATAAGGCATGAAACTAGATGGTGTTTATACCTTTTTTAATTTCTCCTTTTTTTTAATGACAAATGACTTGGCGCAGCAGGAGTGCCCCCCCTCACTGCCCCCCCCACCCCCGATCAGAATCCCTGCTGTGCTGAAGATTCAGAGGACCTGTCGCTCATCAAACAATGAGCCTGTGAAGTGAGCGCGAGTGACACTTTGAGTCGTGATTGTTTCAAAGTTTAGCGAAGTGGCTTTAAGGATGAACTGACTTAGAAGGAATAGGAAGTAGTAAAAAAACAAAGAACTATTTTTGTGTAGAGAAAGTTAGTTTAAAGTCGGCGAGTCTCTCTGTAACCAAATGAAGAATGTACAGACGTGCTTGCTGTGACGCTGACTGAGAGCTTTAGACGCTTGTGTTTCACTCTGCGCCCCGTTTCCGCTGAGCTGGAGTCGACGAGCGAGGGGCCTTTCCAAAGGTACAACGGGGACGAAGGAGACACTGGATTTATGCAATTAACAGAAAAAAAAGGTTCTTATTCATCCCAGTGATGCGGTCAAAGAGCAGCGAACAACATCCCTCCAAAGGTTGTGCCGTGGTTTAAGTGCTCGTGCTTCACACATCTGACGCAAGAGGAAGGAAAAGAAGACGGGGGGATTCAAATCAGAAAATCATGTTTTTCACAATAGGAAGTGCCTCTCAATGAATTGTTAAGGGTGCCATATTGTCTTTGTTGAGATACACGAAGATGTTACTGTGAATGACGTTTTTATTGTCTTAGTCATTCTAGAGGTTACAAACGAAATGCCGAGCTTCCATTCCTTAGGCATTCCACTCCGGTCTTAACATGTTTTATACTTCTCTTCTTTTGTTTTTCATTTTTTGATTTTAACAGAACTTGAATTTTAAATGTTTCTTGTAAAAAAAATAAGTAACTTAAATGTAAATATACGAATGCCATGTTTTAGCTGCTTTACTTTTCAGTTCCCTCGGATCGAAAGACGAAAGTGCAGTATTGTGTGGCCCCGTGAGGCCCCGTGAGGCCCCGTGTGGCCCCGTGAGGCCCCGTGAGGGTTCTGTTGGTACTCCTCTGAGGACAGAGGTTCTGCGTGAGGAAACGTTGTACCGATGCCGTGTTCCTCTGATTGTTAGGGGGGGTGCGCAGACTCCTGAAACACTGGAAATAAATTTTGTCGATGGAAAATTGTTTTGCATGTTTATTTGTTCACCATCAGTATATTTAAGAAAGGACCTTTCAAAGTAGCTTTTTAACACTAATTTACTTTGTAAAGATCTGCGTTTTCTTTCCTGTCGGTCGGTCAGTCCGAAAAGGTCAGATTAAGTTTGATATAATAAAACAATGGAAAGTCACTTCATGCTAATGGGAGACTGATTCAATCTATTTACGTTCATTTTCCTCTGCAGCCTGGATATTAGAATATTAGTTTCAGGCTTTCATAAAATCTATTTGTGAAAACATACGGTAAAGTATGTTAACATACTATGTTAACATACTTTACCATAAAATGACACGCTGCCCTATTAATTAAAAAAAACTAAGTAGACTAAGTCCCATATAAATAAATAGTATAAATATTTATATGTACTCTGCCGCTCTTTAGTCGTCCATCCTCGTGTGTGCTGAAGCTTTAGCCTTTTAATAACTTTCCTCTCCGTATACTTTGTTAAAAGTCAGTTTAGCAAGTTCAAGTACAACATGTTGACAAAAAGCCACGATGTATCCAAATCATAGTATAGTGACACAAAAGTTGCATTAAGTCATTCTAAAGTGTCATTCTGTAGCATGTGGAGACAAGTCCTTGTAATGTATGCCGCGGAATGTTTGACAATTATAAAAGAGGATCTAACCAAAGATACATTTCAAAATGCTTTATATACAAGTTGCACACACAACATAAAGACTTAAACAATGTAAGATTTATACACTTTGTACATCCGCTGACTACAAACCACTGACAATACTAACGGGGAACGTGGGCAAACAATCGATCCATTTTGCACACAAATCAAAGCAATTGACAAAATGTAAATTCTGCCACGCTGACTCATCAGGATGCCGCTTTGGAAGTTCGATATCAACAGCTCAACATCAAACTATCATATAGTCAGATATCAAAATCTAAATTTGTCAGACATAAACATTTGTAGTTGACAGTTATTTTGTATTTGATTCCTTCCATATTTTGCGATAAAATGTGCCATAACTTGGGATGTCAACTCATTTTGAGTCTAGAGTTTAGACCAAGCTTATCTATATTTAGTCATTTTCAATGACTCATCAGACCCCAACATCAAAACCCCCCCCACAGTAAGGCACAGTGACGAAAGAACAAGAATTTAATTCAGAAATTTGACGAGGGATGATACCATTTCTGGATAGCGTCTTTTTGTAGTTAAACATTGTGCCCTTGTTCTGTAAAGCAGCGACGGACTGATGCAGCCGGACATTCACAACACGGAACAGAGAGGTTCGGAGAAAGTAGCAGGAATCGTACTCATAAACAGAATAATCGGTAAATTTAATCAGGAACGGGTGGAACTGTCAGAAGCAGAATCTCTAAAGAATGCACCAACTTCCCCCCCGAGTGCTATTTTGTGCAGCCAAAGTCGCTGAGCCTGATTTGGAGGGCCGTCAATCAATCATGAGGCCTATTTGTCCACTAGAGGGAGTTCTAGACACACTCGACCGTTCACATCTATCTGAGATGTTTTCTCAGTCCTTCTGAGGTCTCCGAGTTGAGGAGACAGGGGGGGGGGGGGGGGCGGCTGCCCGGGGTCCCTTGGGCACATGCGGGTCAGCTGTGATTGGATTGGGTAGCACGTGGTGTGGGCTCATCAGGTAGGAAAGATCTGTTGCATATTGTGCTGCACCAGGTAGCCGGGGCGTGCGCGGAGGGGCGGGTCTAACTGTTGTCCTCGTCCTCGTCCTGCTGGTCGCCCGTCAGTGTCTCCGGCACCCGGAAGCACATCTCGAAGAAGTTGACCAGGGATTGGCTCAGGTGCTGCTGGGTCCCGTCGCTGTGCAGGAAGTGTCCCTCGTCTGGGTATATCTGTTCAGGGATTAATAGACGACCGCACATACCAATAATCGTTGTCCATTCATCTTTTGTGTTGGATGTTAACTGATTAAACATTTAGGTCATAAAAATGTGAGAAAAAGGAGCCAACGATACTAAACTGCTAAGTCGTAGTATAATGTGCCATGAAAAATGTTGTGGTATAATAGGTCATAAGTCCTTGTATGGAAAGCCATAAGAATGTATGAATGTAAATATATTTTATTTCATTGAATGTTAAAGTCACAAATGAGTCATAGAATGTAATGTCAGAAAAGGCCATATTTAGTAAGTCAATGAACGAGGGTGAAATAAGTCATGAAAGAGATATTGTATAATATTTTAAAAGGTCAATAGAAGTCGTAGTAAATTAGTGATACTATGTTAGGGCTTTTTCCACATAAAGTAGTGACAAAAAGCAAATGGTCCAGTGTAGTAAGCTAAAGCTAACTTATTAAAACTGTTAGTAAATGTGCCAAATAAATGAATAATCTGTATGTAAATAGCATCGTTTTTTTAAACGTTTATGAGACTAAATGCCATCACTAATGTATATAATATAATATCCAGGATCCATCCAAGATTTTGATGGACATAAACTGGTTGCAAATTTGGGCAATGGTGCAAATAATAAATGTAGCTTAACATTTTATCCAACTGTGCAAAAATACAAAGGTTAAAAATAAATACATTTTTAGATCATAGAATTTGTGTTTTCATTCAGTGGTCCCTTGATGTTTAAATGTCAGCCTGATCTCCAAAACCTGTTCGTAAAAATGTCTACGAAAATCTTGAACATACAAATTCGTAGTGATACATACTAAATAAATACGGACTGCAAGTGATGACGTCACCCTATTCACAGTGAACGGGGAGCTGCACCCCGTAAACACACTAACCATGTAGAATAAACGTGTTATGATTGCATTTCTAACGAGAAATCAATGTTAACTTGTAAGAATAGAATACTAACCCTGACCCCCTCAAAACATCCAACATGGCGGAGAGACGTTCACTCAAGAATCCAACATGGTCCGCCATGCTGTTCACTCAGGGGGGCGTGGTTAACCGCCGCCAGTTCCTCTGTATTGTTACGAATTTGTATGTTCAAGATTTTCGTACACATGTTTACGAACAGGTTTCGGAGACCACGTTGTAAATGTAGGCTATGCAGTTAACATGCAGTTCTGTTTTGGCCGTCTGGCTGTGTTGCAAACTACACTTACTGTTTCAAAATCTTTCCACCTTTTCAAATCTAAACCTAAAGTCATTGATCTGTACAAACAAGCAGTCTTGTGTTAGTGCACAAATAGTTTAAATAATCACAGTTATATACATGTTTATGCCAGAAACTGACCTGCAGCGTGTAATTGGCCTTCTCGCTGATCAAATGATTGATGAATTTGGCCGTGTGCTGGAAGTGGACCTTTTCTGTGGAGAACATGAAGTTGGAGACGACGCATTAGTGTGTGATCACGGTGAAATAGTTAGCGTGTCACACGTTGATAAGTAACAAAGAGAACACGTCTGTTACCGTCAGCCGTCGGGTGAATTATCAAGTACTGCTTCTGCAGAAGCTGACCGGCTCGGTTTGCTAAATTTGCCATCTGAAAGAAACAGAGAGAGAAGAAAACCCACCTCACACAACGTGCACCTCAGCTAAACACGTTGCTGCGCGATTTGCAAAGAGACTGAAGCACTGAAAGTTCACCATGTATACACGCGAGTCCGTCTTGGAGCCGAGGTATCGCTCTGAAAACGCTGATGCTGCCATTTGGAAATGAAAAAGTCAGACACCGTCTCAAGAGCATTTCCTTTCAACACATCCATAGAATAGTAGTATTATACCGTATAGCTCAAAATCTGTGATGGGGGAGACCGCTGTCCCACATTTAAGTTGGTTGACCTCCTTCTCCTCAGAGCTCAGAAGCATTGTCGCTAAATATCCTCCATAGGCCTGAACACCGAAACAAAGAAATGAATTCTACTTCACCAAACTGATCCTCATTGGAGGCGTTTTGCTGTGTCGACAAAATCACAATTCCTCTCAAGAGCCTTTTATTGAACATGTGTCCTCCTCACCTTTCCATAAACTCCCATCCGGCTCGTGTCAATATAAGGCTCTTTAGATATGAACCTATAAAACGAGAGAACACTGGTGAGACTTCCGGTGTTTGGGGAATGGACCCGCAGTGAAGGCCTCCTCCTCCTGCCCACACTTTTAAAAGGGGAAGCCCGGCCCACCTGAGGGCCTCCAGCTGGTCCCTCTCCTCTAGTTTCCCCAGGTTCCTCCTCACTTCGTGCAGGAGCTTGGTGCCCTGGAAGCCACTGCCATGGCCGTCGAAGCGGATGACGATGGTGCTGAAGGTGCTTACCAGAACCGTGGCCCAGTCCACCCGGAATTGTTCCGACACCATCTGCCCGCCAGGCGTGCCGTCCCTTTGACGTTCATGTTGGTGATTTAAAGGAGTGTCAGAGATGAACACGAAATGCAGGTTGGGGACCCAGATGGACAAACAGGGCTTCACGTGAAAATGGAACATTTACAATTAAGAACAAAGGAATATTTCACGCAGCAGCGATGAGGAAATATAAGTATTACCTTGCAATGTAAAACAGTCCAATGTAACATTAAAATATCAAACCATTTAATACTATAATAATAATGTAAAATAGTTTTTACATGCGATATTGTAGCTTATATTATGCTATCAAACTTAAATAAAAGGAGTCTATGTGCATGTGAGATGTCAAGAGTAAACTCTTATAATGCATGGGAAAGTTTTATGGTAGTGCACCGTGTCCATAATATGTAGAAGATTGACTGAGGACCCTGTTAAGTGCATCACATCCGAAAGAATATCTCGAGGTTTTGGACAACATAAGTAATTAAAATAATTTACCTTTAGCCCTGAGAAACTACAAAGCTTTTCTACACCAAATTTTGTGAATGGCGATACTAGTTTTTAAATGCAAACGCAAAGTGTTGACGATATTCTGTGCCGCAAAAGACGAATTTTTGGAATGAATCCATACTCACACGAGCAGCAGTAACGGGTAATGGGCTGTATCTACGAATCCAGCCGGCTTCAGAACCTGCATTGTGAGAGCTACGACAGATAAGACCAGGTCAACGGGGCTCTCGCGGAGCTAGAGGGCCGTAGCGGTGTAGATCATTTCCCGGGAGCACTCACTGTAGTCGCCCACGGTGAAGGTCTCGTACTCCACTCTGGGCATCTGCAGATTGTGGTACGTGTCGTTTACTCTTTCGTTTGTCTCCACGTCAAACACCTCTGCACATAGAGCAGATTATAGAGATCCTTCGTTACAATTACCCAAAGACAAACCCATCGGCCGCTGAAAGACCTTTTCATGCGAGTCTGTTGAACACTCACTCTGCTTGTCCTCGGTGCGATAGACAGCCACACTCGGGATATCTGGGCCTACACGCACGGTTTAGATAAGATCGGTTAACAGGAATGCAGTGATGAAACATCCAACGACAACAAAATGCACTTTCATGTGAACAGTGAATGCAGAGCGGCAAACGCTCCGTGGCGCTGACGTGACTCTCGGCCTGCGGCCACGCGCTGGGCCTCGTTGCGGAGGGGGCCCAGCAGTGGTTTGAGGTTATCTGCTAATGTCCACTTCGATAAAGCTCTCAACCAGTTACGGAGCGTTAATTCAGTCACGCTTCCTTTCATTCCCAGTGAGAGCCAGCAGGCGAAACTCTTCCCTCTCCTGTTGTTGTCCCGATTCGTCCTCGAGGCTGAACGACGCTCACCTTTGCAGTTGAGCAGGAAGTGCCGCATCCCGTGGCTGAAGGAAACGTCCACGTAGCCGCACTTGAACTCGCAGGACAGGCAGCAGCGGTTGAAGGGCGGGATGGTGTCGGCACTGTGGGACGCGGCGCGGCGGTGAGTATCGTTGTGCAGCCACGAAGGCGCTCGGCGGCCCGCGGGGAAGCACCTACCTGTACAAGTGCCGTCGCTTGGGGTCGTCCTCCGTGCTCAGGAAGTATCTGCAAAGCATCCGAACATTACCGTCAAACCACGGGAACGGATCCCGCGTTTTGCTGGTGGACAAAAGAGAAGCGTCCAAATGTCTTACATGAGGTTCCTTTCGCTGTCGTGGGCCAAAATCCTGGTGACGTCCCAGTCTCCAGAGGTCAGGGACTGAAGTATGTCCGTGCTGGAGTTGGGCTGGGAGGACAGCAAAAGGCCCGTGAAAACCCGGGACAAACCCGCCCAGCAGACGCCGTGAGGCCTACTGCACAATTGCTCACCATGGAGGTGGACATGGAGATGTGGAAGAACTTTCCTCTCCCCCCCTGAGGGATGGCTCTGGTGAAGAAGAACTTGTGTCCGTCGTGGGAAAAGAGCGGCGCTTCGTTCTGCAGAGAGGAGAGCGAAACGTCCGCACACGTCCCAAAATGTGCCCACGCTGCTTTTTTATCGTACTATACGATGTTGTTATTTACTCGTCCAAGCTGAGACACACAACGTGATAACTAGGAAACGACAGCGGGGAAGCAGTGTGTTCTTCACGCACCTGTCTGTGCAACCAGCTTTCACTCTCATCCTCGTGTTTCTGAAAGAACAGGCAGGATTTTAAACAAACACGCAACAAATAAAGAAAAGTTAGATATTCTATATAATTACTTGTTCATCAACTAAACAAATACATAAAACAACAGTGTGTCGGCTTGTCTCTCGTGACTCTTTCCAGCTGAAACGACCTGTGTGACCTCACAGTGTCTGAGGTGCAAAGGAAGAAACTCTGGTCTTTTCACAGATAAATAATAAATAAAAACACCAGACCAGATTTAACACTCTGTCACGGAGAAATTCGGCCAAAGGTTCCACCTTGATGCAGACTCCGGTCGTGGCCTCACACAGTGTCAAGATGGAGTTGTTCTGGCCTCTGTTCAGCCAGTTGACAGCCAGTTTGGTGCTGGTGGCCCATTTCACCATGGTGACGTAATACTCCCTCCTGCAGGAGCAGGAAGCCACAATGCGTCAAACCTCCGGGCCACACCAAGGAAGCGCAACGAGGCCCCGCCGAGCCGCCTCTCACCCTATTCGGGGGTCGTCGGGTTTCTTCATCACCACGGTGTGCAGGGGGCCGTTGAGGCTCACCACCGACAAGTGCACTGCGGGGTTTTCTTCCCCGGCCTGCAGGGGCCAACAGGAAATCACATGAGCTGGAATGCCCTTCTGTTAAAGGAGTTAAATGGTTCGCAGCACACAGCTCACAGCCACCAGGAGAAGACGTGAGGACAGAGGACTCGCCTTTGGGTAGCGGTACTCCAAGGTGGCGGGGTACGGCATTCCCGTGAAGTAGGGGACTTCCATACTCGGCACGAGCGTGTCGTTGATGGTCATGTACGCCAGGCGCAGCCCGTCCGGTGACCACCAGTGGGCCACGTGTGTCTGCAGGATCTCCTCTGCACAGAGCAACACACGCACAACGCTGACAGGTGCGTACAACTCAAGGGCACAATGCAAGTTCTGCACGGGGTGTTTTCTAAAGACCTGGACGATTTTGGGAGGTGCCAAAGTACAAAAAGACAAAAACATTAAAAGATAAAACGATTGCATTTCTCCAATCTGCAGCTTGTTTTTGAGTGTTCTGACATTATTTCACTATTTCATACTAGTTTAATATTCACACCTTCATGTTGCCCGATTACTCATTATGCATTTGGACAGAATCCACAAGCTTGGCATTGTGGAAGCTGCTCCATGTAGATGTTATATCTCTTGGTTTTGATTGCAGGTCATTGGTGTTTTTTACATTTATAGTAGTATTTATATATATTTTCCATACAGAGTCAAATCCCTTGTATGTGCACACATTGCTGGTCATTGAAGCGGATTCCCTGTGAGTGATATCTGCCTTCTCACAGGAGAAATATGCTGATTTTGAAAGGATCTGTATTACTTTTTTCATCCAGTAGGTGGCACAATAGCTCAAGGAAAAGAAATTACACAAAACACTTCTGTGAGCACATGTAGAGATTAACATACTCGATGAGGTCTTTTCTAATCATATTGCCATTGATGTCATCTTGTCTTATTTTTTCCCCACTCTGTGAATGAGGATGAATTATGTGTTCACATGTATAGAATATAAAAAGGACACTTCTCAGTGTGGAAACCTCCACATTTTATTGAGTTCCCTGTGATGGACTATTCTGAGAGCGCGGCAGGATTTTCAAGTTCTGTGCCCGCAGGATATTGCAAACAGTTTCCTCCATAACCCGGGATCTATACAATTGATTATTTTTTCAATCCCTTATTTCATGGGGCTCGGAGCATTTAATAAGACTCCCGGCATGTTGCTTTATAAATACAGTGCCTTCGCTGCACTGCATCTGCTGTTCATACGAGACAAAAAGATTTCCTGTGACGGCGGTGAAATGGATGATGTGGTTTTGTGATTCTTGTCCTCACTCAACGCCAGTGGCTCGGCTTTGAGGTTTGTGTGACGCACTCTTCTGTGCACGCCAATGGCTGCTGGCAAACGGGCACGTGCACAACCCACCGAACCCACAATTTAAATTGTATCAGAGTCATTTAGTGCACCGGTGGTTTCTGTCATACGTTCAAACAAACTGTTCAACGAGCAGGTAAATAACATGTGTGGCACGTGTTTAAAAGTTCCAAAGTGGAAATTTAAAAAGTTAATGTGTAAGAGTTTAAGGGCTCTGAAAGCAATAGATTTCAATCCTGCGCCTTTAATTTCAATTTTCACTTGGTTGAGTTAGTTTGACTGTGGAGCCGAGAGGAAAGTCTCCGTGACCCACGACCTGCCAAACATGTATCACAGCTCAGCGCACACTGCCAACACACTGCCAAGAGGTGTGAGAGCAGTGTGTGTGCAGAGTGTGTGTGAACGGTGTGTGTGTGTGCAGAGTGTGTGTCCAGAGTGTGTGTGAACGGTGTGTGTGTGCAGAGTGTGTGTGAGCAGTGTGTGTGTGAGCAGTGTGTGTGAGAGCAGTGTGTGTGCAGTGTGTGTGTGTGTGTGTGTGTGTGTGTGTGTAAGAAGTGTGTGTGTGCAGTGTGTGTGCGTGTGTGTGTGTGCAGCTCGCTGATTTCATGAGACGTTCTGGCTCCACAAAACAGCAAAAGAAAACCTCTTTCTTTAGTCTGGATTTCTTCCTTTGGGTCGTGTTCTGTGTCTCCAACAAAGAAATAATCCCATTTCTGAAACAAATGCTTAAAGACGCCCCTGAAGCAGGTGATGCGTTGTGACAGAATTCCTCTTATAAGTTCTGACTTGCATTACATTATGCAATTTCACTAAAATCATTATTTAAAACCACCCACTAAATACCGGCGCCTACACGTACTCAAGAAGATGCTAAAAAGTGCACAGCAGGAAAATTGGTTTCAAACGTGTCAGCACGTCATCAAGTCACATTCAAGTGATTTGTAACTGTCAGTTAATGTCCCTTATTAAATTAAAAGTACGCTGGTGTTTAAACATCTGCTTAGTGAGCTCGCGGCGCTGCAGTCGTTCATTAATTAAAGCAGCCTGAACAAAAACACAAGCTATCGACTGTCTGGAGGGCGAACGGCAACTGAAACAAAGCCAGCTGTACACTTTAAATGGAAAGAAAACAACACACCATCTTGGATAAGGGGAGGGGATGGAGGGGGTGGAGGAGGTGGAGGTGGGGGGGGGGTCTCAAAACTGGAACAAACCGGTTTTATTTAGTTTGTGCACAAGGATTGATCATGGCACCGTATTAAAAGAGTCTGTGATCAATATCTTTATTCAAACAATGATCACAGGGATACCTGGACATTGGATGAGGCTGCTATTTGTAACAAACTAATTAACCCATTAATCAGATCAATCTAGCAGCTGGCTGGAGAGCAAAGTGGACTATTTAGCATAATTCTCTAATGAAACCAAAACTCAGCCAAAAAACTGAGTGAATATTTAGCTTGATTCCTGCAAAACTATTTTCCACATTAACTTTAGCATATTGCATATAACTGGTTTGAGTGATACTTTAGTCAATAGTGTGTCTCTGCATTGCAGAGGACCCCGACACTGTCTCTGCATCGCACCCTGACACTGTCTCTGCATCGCACGGGACCCGCGACACTGTCTCCGCATCGCACGGGACCCTCGACACTGTCTCTGCATCGCACGGGACCCCGACACTGTCTCTGCATCGCACGGGACCCCGACACTGTCTCTGCATCGCATGGGACCCCGACACTGTCTCTGCATCGCATGGGACCTCGACACTGTCTCTGCATCGCACGGGACCCCGACACTGTCTCCGCATCGCACCCCGACACTGTCTCTGCATCGCATGGGACCCCGACACTGTCTCTGCATCGCATGGGACCCCGACACTGTCTCTGCATCGCACGGGACCCCGACACTGTCTCTGCATCGCACGGGACCCCGACACTGTCTCTGCATCGCACGGGACCCCGACACTGTCTCCGCATCGCACGGGACCCCGACACTGTCTCCGCATCGCACGGGACCTCGACACTGTCTCCGCATCGCACGGGACCCCGACACTGTCTCCGCATCGCACGGGACCCCGACACTGTCTCTGCATCGCACGGGACCCCCGACACCTGTCTCCGCATCGCACCCCCAACACTGTCTCTGCATCCGCATGGGGACGCCGACACTGTCTCTGCATCCGCAGGGGGACCCCGACACTGTCTCCGCTTCGCACAGGACCGCGACACTGTCTCTGCATCGCACGGGAACCCCGAAACTGTCTCTGGCATCGCACAGAAGCTTTTGGCACAAAGGCAAACGATTTCCTTTGAAATAAATCAAAGGAAATCGTCGAACAAATTGTGGAATTTATAGAGTCCAAACCTCACATGATCAAAGTCCCTGCTGAAATTGTGAATAACTTTATTAGGCATTCAGGTATCAGACTGGTGGTCTCTAAACATCTGTTATGTCGTCATAAGAGACATAAACTGACTGATGATTTCCACAAATGTCCACAAAAACCGTGGTCCCTTCTTTACTTTGCAAACTGACAAGACCTCTCACATTGTCCTCCTTCTACCTGGAGAAGGACGGCGTTACGTATTATGGAGGACGGCAGCCTAACAGCACATGGTCTGTTCTCATTCCTTCCTTCCTCCCTTGCTTCCTTCCCTCAGGCGAGATGCCTGCAGAGCATCCGAGCTATACGACAGTAAAGCTGAACATGAACCCGAACAGCAGCTGCCAGCCAGGTCGTATCACTCAACCTCTCTCAACCTCTCCACCGCTCATGTTCACACATCCATGTCACGTTTCCCGAGAGTGAGACTGATATAACAGCAGGTTATGGTTTTCAAATGATCAGTGATGCTCATGTGTCCACAAACCTTTGACCGTCTCATTTATTTAAGGCTTCCTCTGTGTTTTGAATTCTGAAAGGGACAGAAATTCCCACCCGGCCTTTGAGTCTTCTATCTGCAACATGGAAGAACCCTTGTGGGCTTTGTTGTGTGTTTGCAGACGTCTTACCCTCGTACAGCCAGTCAGCAAGGCCGTTGAAGACGACTCCCTCTTTGCCGGTGGAAACCAGCCGGATCGCTCGGTTGTCTACGGTTGATCTGTAGAATATGTTGTTTTCAAATATGAAGATCTGTGCAAAGAAGAGACAGACAGAAGAACCGCCATTAGTCTCCATATCACAGGCTGTGATGCATTCCGATTCCCTGTTTTCTTCCTCAGCCTCTGCATCTCACATCCTTCATCTGCGCCACGTGACTTTTTCCAGAAACGTGCACTCAGTGACACCTACAAGCTGAAAGGACACCTGCCCGTAGCACTTCATTAACTGGGTTGGTGCAGCTTCCGCCTGGTGCCGGCGTGAGGAGGATGAATGTGGGATCGATCGGTATCTGAGGCCGTCGTCAGCGGAAACCTCTTCAGTTTTATCTGAGCCCAAAATTGCCGCCACAAGAATCCAGGGAGGGAAAGACGAGGCTCCGTTCGCTCTGATCTGTGGCTTGATGTAACAGCATCTACGTTTTATGTTGTGGCGTCGACATCAGAGGGAAACCGATCAATGCAGAGCGTGTAGAGCGAAGGAAGCCGGTGGTCCGTGAATGTTGCACAACCATCAGAGAACCCAAACAGACAGCAGGTGGCCGTCAAAGAGCCACAGTGTTCACATTATTATGAATGGCATTTCACCCACAGCCAAACTCAACCTCAAAGCGTTGACTCAAATGTATAATACCAACATCAAATGACTAAAAGAGGGGGAATACGTCTCTGGGGTGAAGGGGACTCATTGCCACCAGGGCTCCCGTGACAGCATTTGGTTGGAATGAATCCTGAATGGCCTCTGGAAGGCGGGTCGTCCTGACCTCTGCCCCCTCTGACTAAATGACTTTTCAATCTTCAAGGGATTTAGATGAGAGAAAGAATAGAAAGGTGTGACGAGATGAAAGAAACACATCAAAGATACCTGTGGAGCTCACACGGCAGGTTTTGTGTGCGTGCGTGTTTGTGCGAGTTAATGTATAAGCGTGTGTTTTTAGTTGTGAAATGATCCCCAATTTTATTACACAATGTTTTTACTTGGTTGCAGATTTTTTGTGTCTTTTTTTCTCAGGTGTGTGTGTGTGTGTGTGTGTGTGTGCGTTGCCTCACTGATTGCTCTGTCGCGGTAGAGTAACTGCACGCTCCCTAATGAGGGGATTCATCTCCTCTCCCTGTGCACGCGATGCTTCACTGCACACAAACAGCCGCAAACACGCCTTCATGTGCTGACAAAGCACTTGATCATAATTTGCTCCAATTCGGGAAAAACTTTACATTCAGAGAGCGAGGAAGCAAAAACAAAGAAGGAAACATGTCCGACGTGGTCGGGTCAGACAGAGAAGACAGGAGCTCATTATTCTCACATGAATTCGGCTGTTGGTTAAATGAAACGCGGAGCCACAGCGACAACAGGTTTTCTATTACCAAATGCAAATGGATCTGCTTTCTTCCCGCGGCAGGCAAAGTCTCATCGCACCCTTGAAATGTTAATATTCTTTCAATGTATCTGTAATGTAAGCAAATGATGCGCCGAGAGCAATTACGGAGAAGGATAAACCGTTAATGCTGATAGCTGATGGAACAGCAGCCGGTCGTCGAGGCGCCACGATCCAAATTTAGAGTCAACAAGGTCAGAAAAGAAGTGAGTGAATAAAACGAAAGATTAGCAGGTGCTTGGGTCAATTGCGCTTTAAAGCTCACTTCATATTTTTGCAATTCGGGAACAAATTGCGTTGAAAGACCAAAACCAACCATGTTGTTTTCATCTCCTTTTACTTTATTTGTTATTGTTCTTTGGCCCAATGGTTTCTACTGACGGTCTAAATAGTTTCCAATGGCTCACAAATACATTGTGACAAAGGCTTAATCATTTAGGAAGGGCGCAGTCATTTTAAGCCGACTCCAATACGAGGATATTTTACATTTGTTCAGGGGCCATTTCTTGTTGCATTGTCTTGTTTTTTTTTGACCTTGTACAGCGCGACAACTTAAAGCGCTGTCAACAGTTTGTGTCATCATTTATCCATTCACACCCATTCACATCCATTCACATCCATTCACACCCTGACGGCAGTGATGAAAACCATGAAAACAAAACAAATCAGTTCACTGATACACTGTAGATGTGTTGAATCCAAGGACAAATGGTTAGGCAGATTTTAAGCGATTTCTAAAACTCTGCTACTTTCCAAAGCTCATTCCTAGTTGCATAGCAACAGGGAAGAAACCGTATGAATAGAAATTCCATAAAAACGCCAATGAAACCAAATTGAATACATCAATTTTGTTTGCCATCTTACAAACTGTTTGCAATCAACTGGTGCAGAATCGGCGCCCTAATGTTGCCAGTGACACAGACGTGCCCATTTTTCGTCAATACCCTGGTTTTGCCCCCCCCAGCGACTAAGACTGTCCAAGCCATCGGGTCGTGCCGCCTAGACGCCATCTGCCTCCTGTGGCTCTCACCGGCTCACGCGCCGTCCCAAAGTTGTGGAAGTCTAAATCGCGTGGCTCCAAAGTGCCGTGATGGAGGTCAGAGCGAGGCGGGCGCACCCTGGAATCCTTAAAGTAGTCAATTACCGAGCACATAAACCTCTCATCGCCACAGACGTTTGTCTGTCCTCCCCTGACAAACCAGACATCCCCACTGTGCGTCCTCGGCAGCGCCAGGCTGATGGTGTCGCCTCTCGCCCCCCGTGTGCCAGTGTTAACAGTGTGATCTCGAGGGCGCAGCCTCCTCACCAGCTGCTCGCCTCGAGGTCCCCATCCGGCATACTGCAGGACAGCTTCATGCACTTCAGGGGGCTTCAGAGGCCACGTCTCCCTGTGGAGACAATGCATCAAAGACCGATATGGTTTTTGTCTCTATGTGCACCACATTTCATCGGAACACAAACACACAGTCACAACAAGGAAGTTGTGTTGGGTTTTTTGGGCTCGTCCCCTCGCTGGAGGCGTCATCAGTCTTCCGTATTGTTTTTGTAATTTTGCCTCTTAGCAGGAGTTGACTTTGCGGTTGACGTCAGTGGACGGGCCTGTGCAGTCCCAGAAAGAAGACAAGGAGATGATAGACACCACAGAGGCTGGTTCTTACTGTGTCACGAGGCTGTATATAATGTACTTGGCCTCGTAGGAGTGTTGGTAGATCTGCGGAGACAAACAGCATCACAGTTAGGGAAGGAACATGGAAGGAAAAATGAGATTGGATGTAGCGATCTGAGGGCTTCTTACCGGTTTCACTTCAAAGGCAAACAACACGTGTTGCATGTCGGGAGAAAGTTTGTACCTGGCGGCTCTGGATCTGTCCTGCAGGGTGGGAAGCGTGCTGACAGTTTACAGTACTCATAAACATAAAACAGTGAGCTGGAGTACGATGATACTCACAAACAGCTGTTTCAGAACAATGACAGTTCTCTCCTTCGTGTCGACATTAAGCTTGACTACATCTCCTTCCCTTGTACGATACAGCAGCTCGTTGTCTGTAAATGGCAAATAAAAGTCAACCGTCAGCGAGAGACGAGGCAGAAACTGGAGACGAATAGTTTCTAATTCCAGATTACAGCAGGTTTTTATAGTGTTGTCCTCCTCTTCTCCTCTTTCACCTTCGTTAATGATCTGAAGCATCCCAAAGGGCAAATACACCCACACTAACTAACCCTACGCAACTTTTATCTATTTTATTTTATTTAGTTAAAGGTCTTAGTTCATATTGTAACTATAACTTTTACATTATTTTGTTGGTTTGCTTAGGGCCGGATTTTAATCTGATCAATAATCTGTATGCTTTTGATATTCTTCCACGTATTCTTCTCCATACTGAATGAAAATACATGTGTATCTTTGTAATGGGAATTTCTCCAGATTCATTTTCAACGTAAACATAGCAGCTAAATTCTTGCTGTTGTGTTTATCGCTGACCGCTTATCGCTCGGCCAATTGACTCCTGATGTCACACTTTAAGGCCCCACTTCCAATAAAGCGGTCTAATAAACGCGTCAGCACCAGGCTCAGTGTGTTTATCTGTCGTCCTTGTCGATCATGATCTCTAGAAGAGTCTCGTCTGGCAGAATCGCTCTCTCCGGTTACCGTGGCAACGAAAAGCCGGCGTACACCGCGTATGTTGCTCCCGCATGCTGCTCGACTTCAAGTGGCTTTAAACTCTCGGGAAAGCAAACTCTCCTCGACAGACGGACTTTTATAATGCAAAGATTGACCTGAGATCGAACAAACATTTCTTTCTCTGGAATAACAAAAGAAATGTGATGGTTAAAAGGCGCCGGCTCGGGACGCGACTCCCTCTCCAAATTCATTTGGCGAGTCCTGTTTGTAACGGTGACAATGTTCCTCTGTGTCGTCCTTTACTGCCAATTAGTGAAGCAAACACTAAGAATGGTTGAGAATGTAAGTGCACACTGGGAACTGTAATTATGCCAAATCAATTTCATTTAATCTCATCTGGGACTCAAAGAGAAATGTTGCTGGCTCAGTTATAGTTTACGCTATAATCTATTCTTGTGAACGCCGTGTTTACATGATTGGACACTTTGTTTTATCACAAAAATATAACAGGAGCAGCTCTTTTTGTTGAGGAGATCAGTGGGAAGGTCGATTTGGACCTTTGGATCCAAGTCGGTGTCGGGAGCTCGTATGTGAGTCCAAAGACTACTGAGGCGATCAAAGAGCTGCAGTGATCCATTACTCACCACTGTGAAAGCCAACTAAACATTGATGAGCAGCACTGAAGACAGAGGTCGTCCCATTGGTTTCTTATCGGAAGGTCACGGCACCAAATGGAAGCTTGATTGCATTAAGTCAAGTGACAAAGTCACACAGTTGATTGTTGGGATTTGGTTCGGCGCCGAGGACGCTCTAATCTCCGTCTCGAACGAAGGACACAGAGACAAAGTAACGTAACTAATTATGTGCTAATGAGCCGGGAATGTAAGTAATCAGGAGAAGAGTTTCAACTGTAGAACCAAAGGACCGATGTAACAGAATAACGCGTCCACCTGTCACACCAGCAGGAGATGTGGGTTTGTATGTGTGCAGGTGATAATGGGAATTTATTTATAGTATCAGCTGCATTGAAATGTGCACACGCGAGTCACCGGGTGCATTCGAGCCTAAGTGGTCTCTACGTGGTTTCGAAAAGATGGTCCAACAGTTTTCTCTGCGGGATTCTGGTTTCAAGCACAACCAAAACCTTTATACAATGCCAACTAATGACTTCATTTTTACAGGAAATATTCCAAAGCTTTATTTTTGTAAACTCCGAGAGCCCGAGACCAACTTCATCTCAAGTCCAGATGTTAAAAGCCCCATCGGCACACCTTCACACACAAGTGTGTACGACTGGACTCATGCAACTGCTTCAGGGATCATTGTTCCTCATTCAGATCAGATGACAAGAACACTCAAAAGAATCAGCATTAGGACTTGTGCTCACTACCAACACACAATGCAAGCAGTTTAAACTGTTCCACAGCGCACAACAACAATCCATGTAGAAATGATGCCAATCACCGATTCGGTTGGTTACGCAGAAGCTACTGTACCTGCCGAACACCAGAGGGCACGGCGTCAGCGGATTGGACATTTCTGAGCAGAGGGGCGGGTTCGGGTTCGGGTTCGTACTCGCTACTTTGTCAAAGTGACAAAGTAGCGAGTACAAAGGCCACAGATCAGACCTGAACCACCTCGCTGTACGCCTCCTGCACCTCCCGCCGAATTAGTAACTCATACAAAATGAGCCTGAACACCCGGCGTGTGTTTGCCCTGGAAACAGAAAGAGCTGTTTTTTTTAATATTGAGGGTGAAAAGAATCTTTTCCCCAAAAGTTAACTTATCTTATTGCTCATTTTTATCCATAAAGTAAACCATCTTCTCCTTTCATATCCCATTGCGTATACTTCAATGTTTGCTAAATTAGCTTCAACTGTATAAAGTATCCATTCTGAGACTTTAAAGGTTTATTATCTGACGTACATTTAGATTCAAGGCGATTCACTGTTTTAATAACGTCTATTGTTTGCAGGTTTGACTGATGAATGTTTGCTGTTCAGTAAGATTATCTGGTAATTAAAGTTGTACGATGATTGAAAATTGGGAATCTTTTTAAAAAGAAAGAAGATGAAATCATGTGTTATGCAACGCAAGGAGTCGTGTTCGTTTCACCGGAGTCTCATAAGCCCACGAGGGCTCAGGACATCACGTCTTAATGCCTCCGGATCCCTTCTGCGTTCCCACATGAGGCAGATGCTGAATGTCAAACTGTTCACTCACCACTGAGCCACCTGGCGTCCGGGTCGTGGATGTGAAGATCCGCGCCGAAAACATCCTCAATAGTGACTTTCTTCTTTAGGGCGAGGCTGTCATCTTCACCTGAAGGTAAATAAGCATGTGGGAATCAAAAAGGGACGCGCGGCGGCTCCTGTGTGTATTTACAGCGTTTGGACCTTTGAAGAAAACTTCAAGCAGTCCTTCAACCTTGTGAGATTTATTAGAATTTCAAGGGACGGAGTGTTGTGAGTTTCAGAGGAAAACCCGACGAAACTTCCTTGATTATTTTTCATCAGCGAGTTGCACTGCGGCTGTGGCCTCATGGCGGAGAATGTCATCGTCTGGTTTTGTTATCCTGTTCTTCTCTCTGTGGAGACATCGCCTCCAGCAGCGATTCTCCACTACAGGTAATTTAGAACAGGGAACAAACAAGATGGAGGCCTCCGGCGCGGCACTATTGATCTCAGAGCGTCAGTATACGTCTGCCTGCTTTTCTTCCGTCGGGGTGGGCGGGTCTTCTTCCACCCCGCAAAACTCAAAACCCCATCTGAAGTTGACAGCTGAACTTTAGGTTGCGCAGACAACAGAGGCACGCGAGCGATTCGCCGTGCATGTGAGCAAAGGGGAGTGGGCGAGCTCAGCCCTTCAACGCCTCTCCTCAGGAAACAGCCGCCTGACGCGACCTGTCAAGGCGGTCGACAGCCCGGTGCTTCCGTGCAAAACAGTTGGCTGACAGATTCCCTAACAGGCTTCGCGTTGTGACTGAGCGGCGAGATCTGAGCGGGTAAATATCATGTCAGAAGTGTTTATCGACTTATGTGGGAGAAGTTCTACTCTCCGGCAAGAATCTGCAGTGCGAGAGGAGAACGCTGCAAAACGAGATGGTGAAAAGGTATCTGGTGCTGTGCCAGTTACTGTGTAATCGTCTCGTTGAAACAGGCCTGGATTACATAACAAAGGGCTCATTTCCCACTGTGACATTGACCCCGACGGTGACCTTGAACCGGCGCGCAATCAGGAAACGGAGAAAGTTTCATTCTTGAAACGAGCTTTTTAAATGAAAAGAATCTGAAGAGGCGAAAGAAGGAGGTTTCATCTGGAACGTTTCAGTCGTTTCTACTTTGTTTATCCTCTAGACGTTTCAGTCTTTTATACCATTTTTTGGGTTGTGCGAATGGTTTGGCTGCTCTCATTTAACCTCACAGCTACAGTATGTGTAGGAAACTGAGGCGGAGAACATTGAGTGTTATTGAATGAATATTGACCTATTTGATTTGTTTGCTTGTTATCAGAACTGTAACAGATTTGGATTATCAGTATTTGGTCAGGGTACATTTTCATTGGCTAGATTTCAAAGCAGCATTTTTGATCGTCATAAATCAAAGCATGGCAGCCGTGGCGAACTGTATTCTGCAAACGTATAAGGCCTTCGATCATTTCGCAGGATGTTGCAAAGCGTTCAATGACAAAAATGTCACATTCAGCGCAAAATCCAACGACAAAAGAGTCATTTGGAATGATTGTGAATGTCGGACCACGTGTCTGTGTGTGTGTGTGTGTGTGTGGTACGTACGAGGGGTCAGCAGGATGACGGAGGTGACAATCAGGGAACAGATGATGAGGATGACCAGCAGAGCGATGGCGATTCCTTTCCAGTTCCTCTGCGGCGGCGCGCTGCCGACCAGGTCCTGAAGAACATTACGACAGATCAAAGCAGCGTACACACCAATGCAAAGAGAGGCATACGTGTCACATGTGCACATGTGCTGTCACGGTGGGGGGGTGCAGCTCATTCTCCGCCAGTACACACTACACACAATGCACACTTTGCATCTTACATTCAAAGTTGAAAGTAGACTATGGTTATCAAAAAATACAGACATCCAGCCTCCTTTGTGTTCTTTGTGATCTGATATAAATGTTTATTAAAAGACATTTGATTTGGCAAACCAAATAAAATGTCGTACGACTTGTGGATGGTGATCCAGTCTTTGGTAATGAATGATTTAAAAGACAGGTTAGGCTACTCTGAAGTGCTATTTACTCAACATTTGAGAAGCCGGACTACTACTGTCTGCACAGGGAACATAATCAATACTGGAGGCAGTGAGTACACGTAGAAAAACAGCAGGCACTGAAATACGCTCATGCATTGCTGCACAGGGCTTTTCACAATCAGCTCTGTAGTAAGTTCATACGATATTAATGTCTCTGAAAAACATGCTGTTCAAGTTGCCTGTGATCAAAGATGGAGCCTCTGAATCAAGCCGGAGATAAAAAACAACACGAGGATAAACAGTCTTCTTTCTGCGTCGGTTTTTCCCGTGTTTCCTCCCTAAAAAGCAGCCATGTCTGGTTTCCAGTTTAGTGCAGCCTGCACTTAACGGAGAGGTGCTGGGTCTCACAATGGGACGGCCGGATTTGTGCTGCGTGGCAAAGGAAAAGTCTCCCGTAGCATAATAATGTCAGACACTTACAACCCGCAATGAGTGAATATTTAGTTAGTCATTTCTTTCCACACACGACAAATTGAGCCTATTTTTTTAATCTTAAAAACCATCTTCCACAGGCCCCGCGGGCTGATTCAGGCTGCGCACGTGTAGCATCCCGATTAATTGATGAGCGGGAGCATTTTCCCTCCAGCGCTTGGCATTTCTGTAAGCAGACACCCAATTATTCAATCCGAGGCCACCGATCCGCGCCGCAATTCCAATCGATAGGCAATGAAATACTGTTGGACATCCTCCTTTTTCCACAATGAACTTCTCGATAACACGGCGTCCAGGGAAATGAATGCACCGTTAGCCTTTACAGTCCGTATTCATGCATCGATTCAAACAGAATGGTTTGTTTAATGTTGTCTTTTAAAGCTGTGATTGACTTTGTTCATTTCCTTTATATGTTAAGGGAAAACGTGAAGGTTTGAGTGAAGGTAACACTGCTCTACTTCTACTTCTACTAAAATGTTTTGAGAACGATTCCCTCACGCGACTAAAATGGCTCCAAAAGACTTTCTCCATCGACCCCTTCACCAATCAGGCAGTTTGAAACCCCCATTATTGGCGGATAGAGGTGGTTGAAATGTTTTGAACATGTCTGGAATCAATATCAGTTACGAACCGCTTCACAAGAGAGGATGGAGACGTGATTTGGTCTGAATGGGGACGATGGCGCGCGCCGGTTAAAGGCGTTCATAGTGTTCATTACAAATGACAAATAGTTGTATGAAGAAAAAAAGAATAGCTGGAGAGAGATAATAACATTACATTAAAGTTGCGGATCATCATTTCTGTCAGAACCAATTTTTCCCAGGTGCAAATGTTCTTTGCCCTCCCCGATGTTCTCTGCTGGCTTGGGAGGATATTTGCCAAAATAGGTAACAATCCCCAGAAGCCTTCTACTTTTTAGTGGATACGCCAAAACGGCAAATTTGTTTTTCGAGGTTGGCTGATACCGGCTCCCTCCATGTCCATATGTCCCTCCCACCTCCCATCAGGTCTACACATAAAAAGCCCTCTGGGTCATCGGGTCACGGTGCAGGACTCTTTGCTGCACGCCAGTCTGCAGGCAGCACAACAAAACACGCCGCACTCTTTCCTGCCTGCTGGTTATGGCTTGACATTTGGTAGGAGAGGTAATGGGACACCTGCAGGCACCAACGGAGATACTTGGTTTTGACTCAGTTTCATATCCCAGTTCCAATGGACCTCAGCTATGGAAGAGTTTACATGCGAGTGTGGAAGAAGTATTCAGGCATTTTGTTTAAGTAAAACTGCCAAAATAATACGTAGAATGTAGATATATTTTAAGAATGTGGAGAGGCTGCCAGCTGCTTTGTGTTACGCTACAACAACAGCACATACAATAAAGACCATCTCAGTTTTTAAATAATAAAAATAAATAATAAAACATAAAAAGGTTTTTCTTCAGTAGAGGTACAAAAGTATTAGAGGTAAAATACTCTTTAAGTAGCAAAAGTACTAATTAAGCATCGTGCTCTTTTTCAGTAAGTAACTGTACATAAATAAATGGGATGATGCATTCAGGTGTAAACTTCACTCTGATGTCAACCAGTTATTTCTAACTACTACGCATACAAATAAATACAATTATATATAATAACAGAACTTACTTGTTATTTATATTTAGTATTATTGATAGTTACTACGAGCCAGACTTTTCAAAAAAGAAATAGTGAATAAATACAGAAATTAAACCTCAGTCTTTCTTTCCCACCAGATTTATATGTGTATGTGTGTTTTACAGTCTTCACCAATTTCCCCAGTTAAATCTTTTGCATTGACAGATTCATCTTGATCCTTTTCACGCAGACAATAGGCTCATTGGGGAGTAAATAAAAACTAATTACAGATTGGTGTAGTTTAGGTTTAGTGAAGATCTTATTTTGTACTATTCAAGGCTTATGTATGAATCTTTAGGGAGCTCGACTGGTTGAACCTCCCCAGTATCTATATACAAAGACTTCCAACGTGCTCATTCTGAATCCATCAAGTAGACTCAAAGGTGGCAGCGAATGTTTTAAAACAGCACTGCTCTCTCATGCGATCCACTGCTATTAAAATGTCTTGGCTCTGACTGCGTTTTCCCTGCAGACTCCTTTATCCTTTTGTGCAGTGTGGAACATTCCACCCACCTACTCAACCCCCAAATCAGCAGAGAGCTCCAAACTCACATAAAATGTCACATAAAATGTATGAATGGCCAACACCTCCATTGTTTCCAGCAAATTAAAACCCTTAAGAGACGCATCAAACCAAACTTCCGATTCACTTGATTTCCCCGATGAGTCGAGTTAAAAGTATGCAACAAACTGTGGCTGTAAACTTTTGCATTCTGTGGATGCTGACCTTTACTGAAGAGCTCTTACCGAGGCAAAAAAGCGTTGCTGTGCTAAAAGGAAATCTTGACCTTTGGCAGCGATTTCAGGCATGTGACATATTACTGGCTGTCTGCACGAAGCCGTCTCCGTCTGTTAGTCCGTGTGAAGAGCAGGCATGCATGCCATACGGCTCATATTAATAAGAGCCGCATGAATAAATGAGAGCCGCAGCCATTTCCACCCTCTTCTCTACAGAAGCCACATCTAAACAAACCCTGTGCATTTTGGTACTGACGCCTCTAATTGGGTGGAGAATCCCACGAGGGGAAGCAACCGCCGTCTTTTCTCAGCACATTTGGTACTTTTTACTCAAACAAAAGGGCTATAAAAATGAAGCATCCTTTAAGGTGGAGCTTAAAAGATGCTCCCATTCTCCCCCTGTAATCCTCTCTCCCTTATACTTTCCCTCAGTCTAACCATCTCTTTGTCTCGCCTCGCTGCCGAAGTGTGAAATGGATCTTTACTGATCTCTGAGCACCTGGTTTCCAAGGGAACCAGGAGAATCATTTGAGTCAGATTTGCAGGGACTCTGGTGCTGGCGGCTCTGCAGCACAGTGTGGACTAGTATTAGTGTCAAGGGGGGCTGGGGGGGTGACATGTGACCGGAACCTCACAAAATGCACCAACTAACACATGTGACACGTAAGGAAAGCGACATCCTCGATACTCAAACTCCACTGTGATGTGCGTCGCTGTCTGAGTTTGAGTCAAAACTTTCCTCTGGAAAAGCATCAATAAATCATGGGCATTCATGAAGGAGATTAAGAATTTATGCCCGAAGGCTTTTGGTTCATGGACGGTAAAGCACCGGGCGGCCTCCGTCTTTCCGGCCCGTCTTTGTCCCCTACGGATAATGTGGAGTGTGAGCTTTACACTCAACTGGAGGCGAGACAGAGAAAACCAAAATGTCGTTGGGACTGGAATGTGAACGGGTTTGCTGGTGAGTGCAGAGAAGCACACAGCTGTGGATTGAGGAGTGTGTTACTGCATCTCATGGAGCATTGCACAATGCATTTACATCCAAAGGGGAGGAATAAAGAGTTGAGATAGCGTTAAGCTGCCGTTGCTCAGGTAACACAAAGTAAATTGAGAGTAGCTCATCTTCAGTACAGTTCTGTACAGTTATCTAACAGATGAGGAGTGAAACATTTTCATTATCTGCTGATAAAGTTTCATCTCCGGCAAACAAGCAGCAAAAGAAATCCTTCTGATAAATTAAATAAAAAATAAATCTATACTTATATGTGGTATAATTAAAAACTTTGACATTTGACTTTGTAAAATATGATGAACATTTATGAATTTAGCTTTGAAAAGAAATGACAAAAAGTGATATAAGCAGTTAGTTGGAATCATATTATGTCCATGAATCTTTGAATGAATAGAAGTAGAAGTAGTAGTGGGGTTAGTTATGGTACTACTTAACTACTGATGTATTGTTGAGGTAAGAAAGGAGTGCACTATAGTGTCCTTCCTCAACAATTCAAAATAATATTGAATGATTTAGACCGCTGCCTTTTAGGCCATTATCTGATTCCACCTGGGAATAAATTATTCATGATTCTGGGGCAATGCTTCTTCCGTTCCATCGCTCACTTCAATTCTTCCAGTTGGCTGCAGTCTTCTGTCTGTTAGCAATGTTGAATTCAATTACACCCAAGACCAAGTGTCCCATTTAAAAATGCCACGACGGCCACACTGGTCTTCTTGTCAGAACGGATACATTACCAGACTGGAGAGAGAGGCGCTGCGAGGGATCTATTCTACAGCTTCAAGAGTGTGTGTGTG